CTAGATCCACCCTAGGTTGTCAGTTTAACAGCTGAAAGCCAAATTGTCTTGCATGACGACATACCACTGAAGAGAAGATTTTACTCAAATGAGTTTTTAACTCTTCTCAGGAAGATCATACTTTACAAAGGGTTACAATATCTGATAAGGTCATGCCTTTCCAAAATATTATGATTATTCCAAACAGTGTGAATGCCAATTAATCTCCAAAAGGGCCACACTTCCAAAAGTCTGTGGAGATTCCTGGTTTTCCCAAAAGCTTATGAATGCCATTTTGCAAAATTCTTCAATGCCTAGGTTGGAACATGACAGAAGTGGCCAGGGCCAGCAGCATTTCTGCTTTCCCTTCTTGGAGGAATAACCCCAAATAATCCACGGGTCATATCAAAATCTATAATTGTGTTCCACAAACCTGCCTTTTATTTATACATGAGGTTGACTGATATATGAATACATACAATATATATGAAAAGCAGTTTCTTGCCATTTTATCCTACATCTGCATATATCAGGAAACTGTATTCCAACTGGCACTATGTGGATTAGACTTGAGTTGATTTTTCAAACCAGGGATCAGGAGTATCACAAACTTTCAATGTTTATAATACAGTTGTCATTTTACAGGGGGAAAAAAACTGTTGTTTAAAACAATATTTATGCAAGCAAATTCACAGGAACCTGAAATTTGGGATGAACCTTGTTCAAATTATTCTCATTCAACTAATCCCCAGCCCATTTCTTAAATTATTCCGTGTTAGTTAATCCCTCTATTCCCCACCCCATCTTTAAAAGTATTCCGAATTAGCTAATCTCTATTACACACCGCTTATTTATTCCTACTGTCAGGTGCCCAAAATCATCATCAACAGTCTGTCCTTACATGTTCCCACCAACTTCCTTTTCATTTAATACCTCACACTCCATACAATCCCTCCTCGTGCAAACAAAAATCCCACAAGTTGGTCCATTATGTGCAATAACAAGCTTCTCCAGTTTTAATAGCATCTTCAAATGGTGTTACTTTTCCCAAACAAAGCAGGGGAAAAGCAAGCTTGGGCAACTGTTGTGGATCTGGAGGCAGATTTCTGCCTGTAACTCTTGAGGAGGGAGGCACAAAGACTGCCAATGCTCCCTAATTCAGTAAATGTCCTAAAGTTCACTTTTAGTTTTGAAAAATAGGGATTGTTTATATATAAATCAGGGCAGGTCAAAGAGGTATTGAAACTTATTGAAAAGGTGAATTGCCACTCCTAAAACCCTCCAGTAAAGACAACTTATCCCATCACTTTTTTCACAGTCTAAGACAGGGGTGTCAACTCATTTTCATCAAGGGCTACATTGGCTTTATAGTTGCTTTCAAAGGGTCATTGAATCCATGGATGAAGGATCTGTGGATACAGAGGGCCAATTATAACTTTTTAACACAGTAGTTGGTGCTTTTCAGTTTTTACCCATTTTGAGTCCCTAGATGTTATTAAATGACAACTCCCAGTGCATTTGATTGCACTGCCAGGCAATCAAATGCTAATCAAGGTGGTCAGTTGAAACATTCACACCTAGCTCCAGCAGACAAGAGTCCTTTGTCTCACCCTGGTCATTCCACAGATATATAAACCCTTTTTCCTAGTCCCAGCAGGCCTCACTACCTCTGGGGATGCTTGCCATAGATGCAAGCGAAACATCAGGAGAAATGCCTCTAGAACATGGCCATATAGCCCGAAAAAACCTACAACCCAACTCCCATTACTTTTGATCATCCACCTTGCGGACTGAGGATGAGAATTGCAACCCAAGAATACCTGTGGCTCTGAAGTTGGGGAAAAGTTAAAGGATATTTTATTGTCAGGCATCACACCCACAAGCCTTGTATCTGAATTCAAACCCCACAATCCTGACTAAAGAGAACAAACTGCATTTCATTATTTCATTTTATATGTGTGTCTATACCTCTATACCCTGATAAGGGGTTGGTTTAACCTCCAGTTTCCAACAGACTTCACAACCTCTGAGGATGCCTGCCATAGATGCAGGCGAAATGCCAGGAGAGAATGCTTCTGGAACATGGCCATACAGCCCGGAAAACTCACAACAGCCCAACCTTCAGTTTGCTAGTAAAACTGATTACTGTGTCACAAAATGATACACTGTCTAAAAAGGGTGCCACTGACATTAAGTTTTTGAATAGTTCTGCACTATAACGTTTTGTTTTTAAGACAGACATTTTGCTTTCTCTCTAGTAGTCCAAAAGACACCCTTCTTGTCTTGATTTCTTTAGTCTTGTCTTTAATCCTATGGTTAACCGAGCAATTTAAAATAAGTTGACACATTGTGGTTTGTTGGTGCATGTTTTTTAACCATGAGGTATTACCTGGAGTGAAGGGATTGTGATGCTATGTGTTGTGAGGAAGTATTTTGGGTCTTTCCTTTATCTGCAAGCCACAAACCATGGAGTGTTGGTCCTTGGCAAGTTTCCAGCCATATAAAAAAAATGTATCCAATGGACACAAATACGGTACCAGTTCCTGCTACACTAGAGGAGAACAGGTTCCTACCTGCAGCCACTGCCCCAATAATCTGAGAAGGACTGCAAACCCCTGCTCAAACATATACACCACCAACAGCACTGCAATTGTTTACAAGAAACTACCAAATCCACCTGAAGATTTTACATGTTTTACATGAATAAAAAACGTGCTGAGGATATGCACTCTTTTGTTATAAAATGTAGTATAACAAGTCCTGTACTAGAATAATTGGGTACATTTGATAGCTTTGCTCTGTACATAATGTTCTACTCCTAGCCACCAATGTACTGCCTCCTCTCATTTCTTGTATTTTGAGGATTTGGAAAAAAACTCCACATATGCCCTCAACTGGACTCAACATCTCAATAATAGTTCTCTGTTCTCTTAAACAGAAGCTAGATGGCCATCTGTTGAGAGTGCTTTGATTGTACATTCCTACATGGAAAATGGATTTAGACTGGGTGGCCCTTGGGGTCTCTTCCAACTCCCTGAGGAAAGGATGTTTGTGAAATTACAAGAGAAATTCTGTGTTTCAACTCTGCCAGCAATGCATTGCTGTACATGGAGGACAATGTGTACACTTTCTACAAAACTGCGATTGAGAAGTAGCTCTACACCTGGCATAGGTAAATTTTGGCCCTCCAGGTGTTTTGGTATTCCGCTCCCACAATTCCTAATACTGCCTGCTCTACGCTGTACAGATAATGCAGTTTGGCACCGCTTTAACTGCCCTGGCTCAAAGCTATGGAATCCTGGGAGTTGTAATTTGGTGAGGCACCATCCCTCTTTAGCAGAGGCCTCTTCTGTTATCGAGTTCAAAGAGGACCCCCTCCCTTATATTAATGAATTGATACAATGACAACCTGCAGCAGAGTTCTGCAGGTCCTCACGGGCACCAAAGGAGCCACTGCTGGCTATCTTCGAACGGAAGAGAGCCAGCAGCAGGTCCCTGGAGAACTTCACAACCTGATCCTGAACCTTACTAATAAACTTAGACAGGAGAGTAAATTAAAAAACCACTCAGAAAACTGGGGAATTCCCGACATTAAACAATCAAGCCCAGCTAACAACTCCCAACAAAGGATTCCCCCAGGCAGGAAGTAGCCAGGCTTTGAAGCTGTAAGGCCATTCAATGCTAATCAAGGTGGCCAATTGCAACATTCACACCTGCCTCAAATGTCCACCCTGGACATTCCACAGATAAATAAACCCAACTTGCCTTGTTTCTAACAGCCCTCACAACCTCTGAGGATGCCTGCCATAGATGCAGGTGAAATATCAGGAGAGAATGCTTCTAGAACATGGCCATACAGCTCAAAAAATCTACAACCCAGTGACTTAAGCTTTGGAGCCTTCAACAATTCTGCTATCACCTGAGATTGCAACATTGACGATCCATACTTTGTTTTTTTTTACCAGGATCGTGAGGTCAGGCTCCAAAACTCTTGTCAGTCTGAATTTGGAAGTCCTAGAGTAGTTTGACATACTCATTTTGTGTAACATTTTCAGGCTTGTGATCCCATCAGTTTTGTTGTAGGCAGATGGTATTTCTGGCACAAGTTCCAATGGATCATCTGAGCAACGGTGTTATGCCTCTGCTTGTAGTTTGTCTGCGCGATCTTCTTGTAGCAGCTGAGGTTGTGATCTGTTGTTTTGTCTGCTTCCTTGCAGAGTCTACACTTGGAATCGGTCGTGGACTTTTCAACTCTGGCTTTGATGGCATGGGTTCTAATTGCTTGATCTTGGGTTGCAAGAATCAGGCCTTCAATCTCCTTTTCCAAAGTAGTAGTAGTAGTAGTAGTTGTTGTTCTTCCTCTCCCTCTTCCACCTCTTCTTCTTCTTCCTTTTCTTCTTCTTCCTCCTCCTCCTCCTCTTCCTTTCTTCCTCTTCTTCCTTTTCTTCTTCTTCCTCCTTCTTCCTCTTTTCCTCCTTCTCTTCTTCTTCTTCTTCTTCTTCTTCTTCCTCTTCCTCCTCCTCCTCCTCTTCTTCCTTCTTCCTCCTCTTCTTCCTATTTTTCCTTCCCATCTTCTTCTTCCTCTTTTCCTCCTCCTCCTCTTCTTCCTCTTCTTCTTCCTTCTTCCTCCTCTTCCTCTTTTTCCTTCTCATCTTCTTCTTCTTCTTTCTCTTTTCCTCTTCTTCTTCCTCTTCTTTTCCTCCTCCTCCTCTTCTTCTTCCTTCCCATCTTCTTCTTCCTCATTCCTCTTCTTCTTCTTCCTCTTCCTCCTCTTCTTGTGTCCCATAGCACTGGCAGTAAAAGCAGCATTCATGCTACAGAAGGCATCTTGGTCCTCCTGCTGTTTGCGCCTCTAATTCCCAGAATTCCCGGCCATTGGACAAGCTGGCGAGGGCTTCTGGGAGTTGGAGGCTCGAGCTGGTTGAAGAGGCCTGCCTTGGAATGCGGGCAAAGCAGAAGCAGGCGTGGGTTGGGCTCCTCCCCCTCCCTCCCTCCCTCCTTTGACAGGCCCCGCCTCCTTCCTCCCGGCGTCCTTTGCGCGGAGGCCAGTCCTTTCCCCGGTCGGCCGCTGTTGCCGTCGCCTTCGCCGCTGTCATGGCTGCCTACAGCAAGCTCCTCACGGCCCGAGCCACCACTATGGCCGGCGCTGCTGCCGCGGCCTACGCGGTGCTCTGCCTCCTCAACAAGAGGCGGAGGGCGGCCGCCTTGCTACATAGGTGAGTGAGTGAGGGAGTGAGGGAGTGAGTGGCCGAGGAGGAGGTCGAGGGGGCACCTGGACGGAGGGGGAAGATGGAGGCCCGCCCTTCTGACCCCACAGCAGAGGCCTCAGGTCGCAAAACAGACGGAGTCTCTGTTTATATATGTCTGGTGCCTCTGAGACAGGTATGGGCGAACTTGGGCCCTCCAGGTGTTTTGGACTTCAACTCCCACAATTCCTAACAGCCGGTAGGCTGTTAGGAATTGTGGGAGTTGAAGTCCAAAACACCTGGAGGGCCCAAGTTCGCCCATACCTGCGCTGAGCCTCCTGTCACCTGAGGCATCCTCAACAGGTGCGCCTTCCCTCAGCTTGAGCATCCTTCATTTCGAAATGCTCCCACAAATGGCTTGAAGCAGTGACATCTTGTGCTTCCATTGATGCTTCATTGGGCACAGGTTTTTGGCTTCACGCCCCCAAATTGTGAAACAGTACTAAAGCATACTACGTAATACAATACCCCCCCCCCCCCCCCGGTTAGTTATAAATGTCATTTCCTAATTGGCTGTCTTGTAAAAACATGGACAAAAGTTTACCAGACTGCAAGAAACTTTTATTTTTGTGTGACATCCTGCCGCACATTTTGCTCTTGTTTTGTATTGACTCTCATTGAGTTGCAACCAATTCAACATAAGTTTGTGGCAGCCACAAAAATATAGTTTCTGGAGTATAATTACTTTCTTTAATTTTTTATTTTACTTTTATATAAAATCAGTTAGTACAATTGTGATACATTTATAATATAGTTGGTGGCACAGCGGATTAAAAAGCCGGGCTGCTGAACTTGCTGACCTAAAGGTCAGTGGTTCGAATCCGGGGAACGGGGTAAGCTTCCACTGTTAGGCCCAGCTTCTGCCAACCTAGCAGTTCGAAAACTTGTAAATGTGAGTAGATCAGTAGGTACCACTTCAGCTGTGTTCCATGCAGTCATGACCTTGGAGGTGTCTATGGACAACACCAGCTCTTCAGCTTAGAAATTGTGATGATCACCACCCTCCAGAGTGGGACGCAACGGGACTTAATATCAGGGGGAAACCTTTACCTTTGTCTTCTAGATATATTGTTTCCCTTAATATCTACTACACATTCCACATTACAAGTGTCCTTTGTTTTATCTGTTTTGTATGTTTTAGTATATATTTTGTAAAGATACATTTTGATCTGTAACTTTTATGGAGGTACATTTTAGTGTATGTATTTGTAGTGTTTTTGCTATGCTTATCCATTTTAATTGTTTTGTAACCTGTCGTGAGCCATGAGGAGAAGTGAGTAAGAAATAGTAGTAGTAGTAGTAGTAGTAGTAAAACATCATTAAAAGCATACAAAATCACAGGAGCTCCTGATGATCTTAAAAACCTTTTTTAAATGCCTGCCTAAATAAACAGGTTTTAACCTGCTGCCTGAAGGACAGCAGGGAGGGAGTCATTCTGTCAGGTGTAAGGTGTATAGGAAACATAATGATGTGTGTATTGACTTCCGTCCCATCTCCAAGGTCCATCTATACCAGTGGTTCTCAACCTGTGAGTCCCCAGGTATTTTGGCCTACAACTCCCAGAAATCCCAGCCAGTTTACCAGCTGTTAGGATTTCTGGGAGTTGAAGGCCAAAACAACTGGGGACCCACAGGTTGAGAACCATTGATCTACACCAGTGGTTCTCAACCTGGGGTCCCCAGATGTTTTTGGCCTACAACTCCCAGAAATCCCAGCCAGCTGGTCAACTGGCTGGGATTTCTGGGAGTTGAAGGCCAAAAACATCTGGGGACCCAAGATTGAGAACCACTGATCTACACTAACAAATTAATGCAGTGTGAGAAACCTTTTCATTGCCATGGCTAAATGTTATGGAATCCTAAGATTTTTCGTTTTACTGGGTCTTGAATCTTCTCTGCCAAAGAGTGCTGTTGCCTCACTAAACTATAACTCCTGGGATCTCGTAGCATTGAACCAAGGCAGGTACAGTGATGTCAAGTTGTATTAGTTTCATGGTGTGGATTAGAGCTTTCCAAATATTTCATGTTGATGACACATTATTTAGACACAAATCATTTCAAGACACAGTAATTCAGTTTTACTGGCAACTGAAGGTTAAATCAACCCCTTGTGAGAGATACAGACACATACATAAATGGTAATAATGAAATCTGAATAATGATATCTCATGAATACCTATGTAATGATATGTACAAATGTGCAAAAATTGAAACAATTTCTAAGTTTGTGTGACATATCTGCACACTGCAGCCGACACACAAATGTTTAGAAAGCTCTGGTGTAGATGGACCTCAAGATTTATCATGGTGTTCATACAGTAGACCAGGGGTCCTCAAACCTTTTACACCAAGGGCCAGGTCACAGTCCCTCAAACTGTTGGAGAGCCGGATTATAATTTGAAAAAACATGAATAAATTCCTATGCACACTGCACATATCTTATTTGTAGTGCAAAAAACACTTTAAAACAATACAATAATTAAAATGAAGAAAAATTTTATCAAACAAAAACTATTAGTATTTCAATGGGAAGTGTGGGCCTGCTTTTGGATGATGAGATAGGATTGTTGTTGTTGTTGTTATGTGCTTTCAAATCATTTCAGACTTAGGTTGACCCTGAGCGAGGGCCAGGTAAATGACCTTGGAGGGCCGTATTTGGTCCCCGGGCCTTAGTTTGAGGACCCCTGCAGTAGACTCTCAGTGAACTGGCACCCATGAGGGTTGCTAGATTCTGAATATAGGAAGTTTCTGGTTGCTTCATTTACTATTAGAAATAGGTCCAGCTTATAACAAAACCATACCACTGAATTGACTTGATATTAATGTTGAAATACAGTAACTAAAAGCAAATTAAGACAAACTTAATTTAACATAGTTTTAGGTGCTATTATAAAAGTAGCTTTGATTTTTTTACCAGTTGCTTGAGTTATAGTTAACTATCTACTGTATAAGATAGATTGGAAACATGCATGACTTTTGCACTTCGACTTGGGTTCCATCTCCAATTTATGTTGTTATGCACATATATACAAATACAGATATTATAAACCGTAAACAAATCCAAAATCCAACACACTTCTGGTCCCAAGAATTTCAGATAAGGGATACTCAGTCTGTTTTATTCTGTAAGTTGTGTTTGTTTTTCAACCACGTGTGATTTGAAACCAAGTGCTCTTAATATGTGGTGTTTAAGTGTAGGATGACCAGTTTAAATTCTCATTTGGCCTTGAAAAACCACTGGATAGCCTTGAGCAAGTCATACATTCTCAGCCTCAGCCTGTGATGGGGTTACCTTAGGCTGAATCCACACTATAGAATTAATGTAGTTTGACACAACTTTACTGCCATGGCTCAATGCTATGGGATTATGAGAGTTGTAGTTTGGTGAGGTACCAGCCCTCTGGTGGAGAAGGCCAAGGGCCTTGTAACACTACAACTCCCACGATTCAATAACTTTGAGCCATAGCAATTTAAGTGCTGCCAAACTGCATTAATTCTAGTGTAGATGTACCCTTAGTGTCGGCATAAAGCAGAATGTGAAGGCACACAATATCAACAACTCCTAAATTCCATGCCTGCAAATGTTGTGTCACCAGATACTTTTGTAGCATCTATCAGATGTGTTTAATAGGACAAGATCATCATCATCATCATTCAACACTGGATGATTTGTAATCGTATATATGTTATGTAGATTAGGATGTTTACTTCCACTACTTTAATAACTGAAAGACAAACACTTAATAGGGTAGATGACTATTACCTCTTTCTGGAATGACTGAGTTTGAGACTAGTTTACTTAAGACAGGGTGCAGATCATATAGTTTTCCAGATGTTGTTTGACTGCAAGTCCCATGAGTCATGGCCATCTTAACCAGGGATGAAGAATGTTGGGAGATGTGGTACAACAATATCTGGGGGCTGGGGGTATATGTCTCCCTTTATTCTAAGGGTACACCTACACTGTCAAGTTAATGCAGCTTGACCCCACTTTAAGTGCCATGGCTGAAAGCTGTAGAAATCTGGGAGTTGTAGTTTCATCAGGCACTAGCATTCTTTGCCAGAGAGGACCTTACAAGACCTTATGAAACTACTATTCCCATAAATCTGTAGCCTTGAGTATTGACAGTTAAGGTGGCGTCAAACTGCATTAATTCAACATGGTGGATGTACCCTACATCTATCCGGTAGCCATATGATTGTAAGAAAGATGTACTGAGTAGCAGAAAGATATTCCTCCATGTCTTGTCCATCTGCTTAACTTGCAGAACTGAGGGGCGTTTTTTCAAGTGATTTCAAACAATAGCAATGAGCTAATGGAAGAGAACATGCAGTGTTCTTAGGGAATATTTTAAAGGTGGTATCCCATATTTGTCTATTGGGTGACACTGAAATTTGCTCCAAAGTTTCCACCCTGTTCTCTAGAGAAAGGGAACAGCCATATTGACTATTGAAATAGCCAGGTGTCTTGTCTTTAAAATTACAATATAAGAATTTGATCATGATAAAACTATAGGATGGCAGATTTCCCAAGGTGAAAATGGCATTTGACCTACAAATATAAAAGACAAGTGCATGAATGAGGGAGAGGAGTGAATCAGTTTTTTTAATCCCTGAAGGTGAATCAGGCTTTTCCTCCCTAAGAAGGACAACTTAGGACAAGTATTTCACATTATTCAGCTTAAAAAAGCATCCCAAATGTTTGGAAGGGAAATGTATTTTTAGATAAATCGAGATTACTGTTGACATATGGCTTGCAAATCCACAGCTGTGATAATTAAGGCTGGAGTAATAGTTTGGGAACCTGTGTTTGTGAAATACTTGCACCTACACAACATTAGGTTTCAGGGGTGTGCACCATCATAATCGTAGTGTGAGATCTAAAACATGAAATAGTTCAAAGTTTGTGATCCAGTTAAAGTAAAAGTTTGAAAGTATTTATAAATTGTATACTGTTTCAAGGTTATGTAT